TCAAGAGAAGCAGAACCTGGACCCCTGTTACAACTGTCAAGTCATGGGTCATATCGCTGCAGATTGTCCAGAACCCAGTCGAAAGAAGACACCCCAGTGCCCCTGTTACAACTGCCAAGTCGTGGGTCATATTGCTGCAGATTGTCCAGAACCTAGTCGAAAGAAAACGTCAGCAACACCGTCCACGTCGACACCCGTGGCATCCATGGCACCGGTGACACCGGTGACACCCGTGACACTAGTGCTTCATCTCATCGAAGACACGCATATCGATGTCCTCGACCTAAAAGAATGCCTCACACAACTCCGTGCGGGCATCACACCTCGTCTAGAGAAAAGAAAACGGGACAGAAGCCTCTCAAGAAAACATGCTTCAAAGCGCCGACGACACCTTCAGTCCGAGGATGAGATGTATGTAGAGGATGAAGAAGATAGATCATCTGAGCAAAGTGACTAACGCTCCACTGTTTTTTCCAGTTTCCCATCGTTTGCAGTTTTTTCCAGTGTTCCTGCCGTTTCCGGTTTCCAGTTTGTTTTCCAACGGCCCTTTCCAGGGCCACCCATCTCTCCCGAAAGAACGCTTTCATCCTTTGCTTTGACGACCCTCAAACACCCACACCATGAACCCGCATCCTCCTTCCCTCCCTCCCTTCACCACCACCCTCCCTTCACCACCACCACCACGTCTATGTTTAGAACAACAACAACAACAAAACTCTTTTCTTGTTCACGTTTTACGACCGCTTCCCTGGGTTTTTTCCCCCTTCCCTCCCTCCTCCTCCTCCTCCCCCGGAAAACGGAGGCAACGTCCTCTTGGAGGTGCACGCACAACCGGACACGGAGGCGACGCCCTCTTTGAGGTGCGCGCGACATGCTGAATCGCTCTTTTCAACAACTGCTAACACACTTTAAATGCAAGGAAAGCATCCCAAACATATATTTTTATATATAAATACATTGTGTTGATAACCACGTACTTAACCTACAGAAATAACACTCCAGTGAGTTTATATATATATACAACAATGTTCGATGTATCAAATTTCAAAAAGTTCTCACACCCCACACTAAGTCATATTTAATGACGATTGTACGATAAATGCTGTACCAAACTTCCCTATACAGTTTTGTACCTTTGTATATATATATGTACTCCAACTGTTCGGAGTACAGTAAAACATTTACAGTAAAACATTATCGTATTTACATACATACATACATACTACATAAACACACACACAAACACACACATACATACATACCTATGTGTGTGTGTGTTGGTGTGTATGTATGTGTGTGTGCGTATACTGATGAGGGCATAGTATCGGAGATAAATATAATTTGGTTTCTCACTATTCTTTTCATTGGAATGTTAAGAAGGTATGCTATAATTTCAATATTTTATTACAGTGCTTGATGTTAGCTGGAATTATATTAATCCTCTTAAACCTCCAGAGAAGATTATCATCTGAGGTAATTTTTGTTCGTTTATATGTCACAAATTAGTGATAACTTATGAAAAACGTAATTATCTGTTTCGAAAATTATGTACCGCATTATACGTGAGGTACCTAAGTTGGTATCAAGGTTGCTTGGCGCAATCCACCGATTGCCGAGTTTAATGATCTTAGAATACTCTTCGTACAAGGTCAAAGAGAATATGTACGTTAGTGACAAAACCCTTTTCATTATAGATTTTCCATCCTTTCAATTTTGATCATAACATATATATTTCAGCAATAATTGGTTGCAACAAATTTATTATACATTCTGATGCTCTTTGAAACTCAACAAGACATTCCCGAAGATACCGGATATTATTTGTGTATGCTTTGAATTATGATTTCGTGCCATTATCATGATGGATTCTGTTTTTGTTGTTGGGGCAAGGAGTTATTATCCCAGCCAAAGTTGTCAGTAAGTTGTTGTTAGTTATTCAGGTCATATGAAAGGAATCCAGACAGTTACATTTATTCATTTATTTCATTAAATATACTTCTTCCTATGAAAGGAAATATTTTATGTTATATTAATGATCCATATGTTAATCATACATTGCTACAAATATTGCATATGTTAACATGGTTTGCATTTATTTAATATTTTTTCTTTATCTGTGAGAAGTTCACAGAGATCGAGAATACACAATATCTAATAGTATATGCAATGTAGGTAAAGAATATCCACGCCCCTCTTTTGATATTAATAAACACATATAATGTTATGTATTAAGTATTCTCCTTTCCCATGCATGGGAAATCTATGCTGCATTTGCTGACAACTGGTTTTTTTCCTTTGACATTGCACAGGAGATCTGTCACTCATTTGTTGTATTTGAATTCTTCATCAAAATATAATGTATAAATACGATTGAATTGTCTCGTTTGTTCCAGGAAACGGTCATGTGCTCCTTATCTCAACTCGTAACTCAATGTTATTGCAATGGACTCCTAGCTAAGCTACTATTGGATAATAAATCAATTAAGCTATTTGTCGAATAGACGTACCTAATGTCATCCATCATTTTTAACCCGAGGATGGATCTTTCAGTCATAAATTTCGATGTGTACAGTTGCTAGAGTATCATTCTAACAATACAGACATGACACAAGCTGCACGTAAAATAATTGATTAAGGTAGTCCTTGCGGGTGCACATACCTACATGTACAGCGGCCAGGACATTGTCATTATTTTCTCTACATCCTCCGAGCAACGTTAAAAAAAATGAAACTTGAATAATAATAAATTGATATTATGTATATGAACATGTATAAATCAGCTTGCACACAAGACTACTGCAGAATGACATGTCATCCATTTGCTAGTTTAGTTTAGTTTAAAAATATTTTATTCACAGAACAAAATGAGAATTGTATTGGGGACAAGGTCTTGCAACTTAGTAAACCCCTCTCCGCATAAAATATGCACAAATATACAGTTGCAAAATAAATAAATTTGCTTCAGTCAGTAAAAGTCAGACTTTCCACATTTACACATCAATATATTTGTGTAAGTTTGTTACGTTATAATTATTCCATTGTGTATATAACTACCTACTTTACCAATTGAAATATGATTCCATTAGGTTAAATATGAACAATTCTGATGAAAATCGTCAATAGGATATATAACAATTAAGTACAAAACACACAGAATATTTCTCAATTAAATAAGAAACCTAAGTTCATTCTAGTAATTAATCTTCGTCTGGACAACCATAGAAATGAAATTCCAATGCGTTTATATATACATATAATTATACAACAATGTACGATAACGACCTCAATCCTCCCCCACACCCATACTTTAATGACGATTGTACGATAAACCCTGTACCAACCCTGACAAGGATAGGTTCTAGTCATTTAACGCCTTTGACACAAAACTTATAAGGTTATTACAATTTACGTAAAAAGTTATTACATTTTACCGCAAGTTGAGATTATTACAATTTACATCAATTTTTATTACAATTTGCGTATTACAATTTACGTCAAATTTTATTACAATTTACGTTGTTATTACAAATTACGTCAAAATTATTACAATTTCCTGCAAGTATTACAATTTACCTTTTTATTACGATTTACGTCGTAACAAGCATGTTTCGAAGTTCCTGGAGTGTCTGTGAAACACGTGGTTGACGTCGAAGGCGCCAATCCATCTCATCCCACATGTGCTTGATTGGTGAGAGATCAGGGCAGCGAGCCGGCCAGGGGATGACATTCACGTTGTTTTGTTGAAAAGAATCCTGAACAAGCCGAGCAACATGCATGTTGAAAGGTAATGCCTGGCCATGACGACGCAAAAACGGTAGAACAACAGGTCTGATGATCTCGCGGTAGTGCTGTCCATTGAGATTTCCCTCTACCACTATCAAACTACTCTACTACTCCGAGGATGGTCTCCGACTGCATTCGTCTGTTGCCAACGTTGCCATAAACACCAAATGGTGTTTCTGTGGACCTTAAATTGTCTTGCAACATCACGTTGACTCGATCCTGCTGCAAGCATACCAATGGCTCACAGAGGCTCATTTTCGGACAGGCGTGGCATTCCATAATGTTGAATAATTGCGTAATATTTTTGTTTTTCTGAGTGGTTGTTGTCAGCACGATGCTAAACAATGCAAATGGAATCCCATTAACGCACGTTTTTATACCCATTCTTGGGTAGTGAAATGCATGGGGCTTGCAGAAAAGTCAACTTTTGCATGGAATGCATCCTTTTCTGTAGCAGTTGCGTTTTGGTAACTTGATTCCATACATGTATTACAATATTGAAAACCAAACTTTACTTGTTTGAAAAATACACTGAAATATTGGTGTCACAGTAACTTTTGTTGTTGAATATACATGCCAAAGCGTTGAGCAGTGTTGTACAGCGCTCCTGTTTCTGCTGTCACCTTCAGTGCACTGAGTCTTCAGCATCCTGCCAGTGTCCTGCTGAATAATTGATGCAGCAATATCATCAACAGAACTTGAGGTCATACTGTTCGGTTTGCATGTTACAGTCAGTTCAGGTAAAATGGAAACTAGGTCTTGGACTTGGGTAATGAGACTCTCAATACCTTCAATACAACAAAATACGCAAATATAGGTGATCACAGATTGTGTTCACAAAGATGAGGTGAAATGGGTTTTAACGTTGCATCCTATATTATTGCACTTATACACCGACATGCATTCACCTGTGTGGTGTTTGTCTGCTTGTATTAGTCCGGACTAACACTGATTGTATAGTGCTTGCCCACTGAGATACCATGCAGCAGTTTAGCATGAATGCCCCTCTCAGAAACAGTATACTGACTCAGTGGACCAGTCCCTTAATGCCGAGCCCCATGCAGGGTAACAACAATTACCATCTTTTAACGTCGTTTGGTGTGATGCGGACGGACGCTCTACCACTACACCTCACGGAGGCAGTCTGTTCACAAACGATCATAATAATAATAATGATAATAATGATAATATAATAATAATATAATAATATAATAATATAATAATAATAATATAGTTTATTACAGTGTCATGTTTACAATTATATACACTATGGTCACAAATATAATTCAGGCCAAATAAGGCCTAAAGGATGCACCTTGTTTTGGGGTCCTTTATTGAAAACAGTTTAAACATTCGCTGTCAAACATCAACACTCGAATTGTTCTTCAACACTTCTGCCTGTATCTGGTCAATTCCTGCAGTGTTATTCAGCTTCATGGCCTGGACAGCACTGAAGACTTTCCAACCTTGAAATAGGTATGTTAAGGACTCCACAATTTATATTTTTATTATTAAAGTCATAACATACTTAAACATCATCTTATTTAGGTTGAGTTTCCCTGTTTACACCAGCCAAGTGTGGGCTGAATAATTTACAAAAGTCATACATTGTTCCTGGAGTTTTGCAATTCTTTGCACCAAAAAGCTTTTATTCTTGATTTATGAATTTTTTGACAATAGCCTCTAATGTAGATTTTTTACTGACCAAGTTTCTCTTCCATCTTTTCTCTCACTGTATATATACTAAGTAGTGAGAAGTCGGTAACTGGATTAACCGATGCCATTAATGGTATTATAACAAAGTTGTGTCTCCTGTTAAGATCAATTGCCTCTGACAGAGTAAAAAAATTATAGGTTTTTAACGTTACATGTAGATTCGACCTGTTATTAACAAAGTCATCAGGAGATGACATCCCCCCCCCCCCCCACACACACACACCTGTGTATACAGTCTCCATCACACTTGACACCTGTGTATATAGTCTCCATTGCACTTGACACCTGTGTATAGTCTCCATCACACCTGGCGCCTGTGTATACAGACAGTCTCCATCACACTTGACACCTGTGTATACAGTTTCCATCACACCTGGCACCTGTGTATAGTCTCCATCACACTTGACACCTGTGTATAGTCTCCATCACACTTGACACCTGTGTATACAGTCTCCATCACACCTGGCACCTGTGTATAGTCTCCATCACACTTGACACCTGTGTATAGTCTCCATCACACCTGGCACCTGTGTATACAGTCTCCATCACACCTGGCACCTGTGTATACAGTCTCCATCACACCTGGCACCTGTGTATACAGACAGTCTCCATCACACTTGACACCTGTGTATACAGTCTCCATTACATTTGACACCTGTGTATACAGTCTCCATCACATTTGACACCTGTGTATACAGTTTCCATCACACTTGACACCTGTGTATACACTCTCTATCACATTTGACACCTGTGTATACAGTTCCATCGCATTTGACACCTGTGTATACAGTCTCCATCGCATTTGACACCTGTGTATACAGTCTCCATCACACCTGGCACCTGTGTATAGTCTCCATCACACTTGACACCTGTGTATAGTCTCCATCACACCTGGCGCCTGTGTATAGTCTCCATCACATTTGACACCTGTGTATAGTCTCCATCACACTTGACACCTGTGTATAGTCTCCATCACATTTGACACCTGTGTATAGTCTCTATCACACTTGACACCTGTGTATACAGTCTCCATCACACTTGACACCTGTGTATAGTCTCCATCACACCTGGCACCTGTGTATAGTCTCCATCACACTTGACACCTGTGTATAGTCTCCATCACACCTGGCGCCTGTGTATAGTCTCCATCACACCTGGCACCTGTGTATAGTCTCCATCACACCTGGCACCTGTGTATACAGTCTCCATCACACCTGGCACCTGTGTATAGTCTCCATCACACCTGGCACCTGTGTATACAGTTTCCATCACACTTGACACCTGTGTATACAGTCTCCATTGCACTTGACATCTGTGTATAGTCTCCATCACACCTGGCACCTGTGTATACAGAGTCTCCATCACACTTGACACCTGTGTATACAGTCTCAATCACACCTGGCACCTGTGTATACAGTTTCCATCGCATTTGACACGTGTATACAGACAGTCTCCATCACACTTGACACCTGTGTATACAGTCTCCATTACATTTGACACCTGTGTATACAGTCTCCATCACACTTGACACCTGTGTATACAGTTTCCATCACACTTGACACCTGTGTATACACTCTCTATCACATTTGACACCTGTGTATACAGTTCCATCGCATTTGACACCTGTGTATACAGTCTCCATCACATTTGACACCTGTGTATACAGTCTCCATCGCACTTGACACCTCTATATACAGTCACATTGTTATTTTGTTGCATCACAGTTACTAAAAATGCCCTGATGGAGAGAGTCAATCAAAGAAGTCATCTATATCAATGTTGGGGTCCAAAAGGTGTTCCTTAAATGGGGTCAAGTCCATCCCATTAAGTATCAGGTTCTCAAAGGTCTCCTCCAGATCCGTCTCACCTATTAAGATAGCTCCTTTCATGCAGCCATCTTGTATAATCACCTTAACATATTCCTTACCTGAAATGACATAATATCAGAAGCATATAAAATGGAGAAATCTTTGGGATTTGTGTCTAAATTGGCATTCCAGGTGCTTGGACTGCATCCGTTTCATGAATATTGACAGAATTTGGCCTATGTTTCATGTTGAATTGGATTGATATAAACATATGTCAAAGTTAAACCACAGACAGCAGTTACAGCCTGGTCTGTGTGTGATCTTCCATATCATTGCTTGTGACAAAATTGCTATGATTATCAGCCCTGGCTTATTATATATGTCACATTCCTCCTTATTGCACAAAATATGCATCGAAATTGTCTACTCCTACCATCATTACCAAGCCACACATGGTCAGCCTCCTGAGACCGTCCACATGACCATAATGACCCTCATGCTGAGATCCATCCTACTTCAGTGTCAGCTTGATGACACCTTGGACCAACTCAGGAAGTTGTTACGAATGTGAACAGATACTTAGCTTCACCTTTTCCTCAAGGTTCATATTCATTGTGGATAGGATAATTATATTACAAAATTGCAAAGGCATTTTTACCTTCAGTAACCCTGAGAAGCAGCTCATGCCCTGCATCAAGTCCTTGTGCATTGAACTTGCCAAGTAGTACCACCTGCAATACAAACAACACATGAACACTCTTTCATGCTTCTCATAGACTATCATTTCTTTCCCAATTTTTCATGTCATATTTATAATTAATATAACATTTGGAACTGTTATTTTCCAACAAACTTCAGGACAACTTTGATCCCTTAATGACACATGCCACAGACTCCGGTGTATGACCTGATATTCACACTGTGGAAAAGTGTTGGCCAAAACAGGAGTAGCCCCTTCAACGACAATTTTGTAAGACTACAGATATCATTACATACCACCATGCACCTTAGTTTGATACCATTACCTTATGTTAGGGAAAATATGTGCCTACTACAACCTCAAACCAGATCAAAGTACCTTGCCTATTGCTAATATAATGGGGAACCTAAAGACATTTCTGGTCTCTTGACATTACTGAATGGTCTGAGAAAACCATTCCTCTCCCTATTCAAAAGAGAAAACTACATGCAACTCTGCTAAACTAAAAAAACATCATTTCCAGTCTAATGACACCATTTCTGTTTTTTTTAAAAACATGCCAAATGCAATATAATTCTAAACAACGGAGTACTTTGCATCTGATTACCTTAATGAACAAAGTTATTTGCACTTCTTGTTTAATGACCTTGACACTAAATTAGTCAATCACAGGCTTGTTTGTGATGAAGATGCAAATGTTCCATTCCAGGGAAGTTCACCGTCTTTAAAGTCACTTCAAACCTTACTCCTTCAAATTACATCATACTAGAGCAGTGACAGTAAACACTTTTCGAGTTAGGAACATAATGCATTTTTGAGTGTATAAACCTAGACAGTGAATTTGAATATCAACATCCTATACAAGTATTTAAGAACATTTCCAAAGGCTACACAGCATATCAACCAAATATGATTATGCTAGAGTGGATTTCAATGTATTAACGATAATATATATTATATGCCTTTGACACAAAGGGAAAAAAAATACCTGCCTTATAATTGAAAAATTTAGTGACATGAGCAAACAGCTCAAAGCAGAAGTCTGGTGTAATCTTCTCTCCTCTCACTGCTGCAGCCATGCTCTGAGCAGCAAAGCACCCCATCTGTCTGGCCTGGGACCACAGTCGAACCTATACAACAAAACCACGCAACATAAAGTGCTCATCTTTAGTGTTCAGTGTGCACCAGCACATCTACATCACAGTGTCCTATATTGGAAGTTTAAAGTGTATCACAATATTTTGCGATGCACAAGGCCATATTGCGATATGTATCACAACATACTGTATAATTTTAAATTTTTAATTCAGAAGCAATCTGATACATTGAAGTTCATAAATGGAACAGAACAAGATGCTGGTACAACATGATGTTTACTCAGTCAATAATACAAAGCCATCCAGGGGACCTGGATGCATGTAGCGGGGCAGCGAAGGAATTCATACATTCTCAGGCTTGAGATTTGGCCTACAATGTCATAAATTTCATTGAGAATGAAAGTACACTAGAACAAGGACACTTGTAAAATCCGAGATATTTTTTATATTGCATTCACTGCTTGACAGAGAAAGATCTTTGTGAGGTCTTGCTGAAGAAGAAGTTGTTTCAACTAGCTGAATGGCCAACACTATCACACAGCTCCCATGTGACCACAGAAGGGGTGACATCACAGATCAGCACATTACTGCTAAAAGCCGGAACATCTGAAGACATCATGGGGAGGCAGCTCTGCGACTGGTTGACCACTTTGGACGAAGTAATACATGATAAGTATACAAATATAAAAAGTATCTAGGATTTTACTTGATTTTTTAACTTATCCTGCATTACTCCTTAATGCGTCTATATTGGACGGCATGGTGGAGGACATACCTTCAGATGTGATCTTCAATAAACTCTCCATAGATTCCTATCAATCAGCAACAGCGATGTACGCCCTTGAGTGACCATTCCTGTCGGTAAGGAACCGAGCCAATGCGTGCAGCGTGTAACCTCCTAGTCTAGGGTGACACACACTGGAGAGGTAGGAAGGTCGGCTCTGGTCATGTGGAAGCATCAGTGGTGCCTTGAGGCGGTGACCTGCTGGGCAACCACAAAAGGGCCAAAGCTGTGGACGCCTCCCACGTCTTCTAAGGCGACATCTTGCAAGTAGTGGCTGGCAAAGACTGTTCCATAACAGCAGGGATGGAGCAGCTGCTGTGAAGCGCCAAGGTTGAGAGAGGCGACCGCCTGGGTCTCATTCGGTTTGTTGGCTCAAGAAGGGTCCAGTTCCGCGGCCTAATGGGCCTGAAAAATGGTGGCACGAAGCCATAGGGCAAACTACTTGCATGTGAATTCTATTTGCGATGCCGTAGATACCGGGATGAAAAGGCAGCAATGTTGTCATCAACGATTCTTGGGAGACATAGTAGAAGTTCCTGTTTATCTTCAACCCCCACTATCAAAAAGAGCGGTGGGATGGTGAAGGATCTGTCCAGCTGTCCTCGGAGTTGATTCTTGGCCAAGATGAACGGCTCCATGCCCTCTGCATGCAGTTCGCTCACCCGTGCTACTGTTGCTAGAGCCAAAATGAAGACTGTCTTCTTGGTGAGGTTGTAGTAAGACGGCGAGTGGAATGGCTCAAAGGAATCTTGGTCATCTTTTGATGTTCCAGAACTGTCAAGATGGAGTTAAGGGCCACAATGTAGGTCCTAATGGTGCTGCCCTTCAGACAACGCTTGTGGTGCAAAAACAGTAGCAATTCAGCCAAGAATTGGGCTGACGCAGAGGTGGCAGAAACTGTCAAAGGAGCGTCACTTGTCTTCATACAGGTCCCTGGAAGAAGCTTTGTGCACCAAGGTGATTGCCTTTGCCAACCTTGCTGAGTAACCATTGGCGCTTAGGGCTCTTTGTAGATGGACCAGGCGTGAAGATGTAACCTGTCTGGAGCTGGGTTTGGGCCGTTTGCTGTGAGGTTTGGCCAATCTGGGAGTTCTAGGGGGTCAACAGACTAGCCCCTCGCAGGCCACCAAGGTGCTATCAAAGTCAGAGCGAGGCTCTAGGTCGACCTGATCTTTTTAAGGACCCTGGGAAGGAGTACTGGAGGTGGAAATGTGTACGCTTTTTGTCTTTCCCAGGGGACGTTGAGGGGACATTGAGGGCATCGACTGCCTAGATTTGTGGATTTGCCCTGATTTGTGGATCCAGCACTGGAGTTATGAAGATCAAGACCTGCAAGTTCTGGCTGGTGGCAAACAGGTCGATGTTATGGTTGCCGAGGTGTCGACAGACAAGATCGAACACGTCCGGTTTGGAGAGGGAACGTCTGCCGTAACAGGGAGGCAGAGTAGGTCATCCCCTGATTGTGGAGGTACCATACGATGGTGATGTTGTCCGTGGATGTGGTGATCCAAGCGCCAAAGCATCTGTTTTACAGTGAGAGAGAGCCAGGATGAGAGCCTCTAGTTCTAGTTTATTGATGTGCCACTGATGCTGAACAGCGAACCACAGCCCCGAGGCGACTTGGCCTTCTAGATGTGCTCCCCAGCCTTGGAGAGAGGCGTTGACGAAGAGGCATAATGAGGTTGCGGGCTCGGTCAAGGAGATGCCTCCTTAGACATTTGACTCCACTGTCCACCATTGGCTTGAGGTGGTCTAGGAGGACAATGGAGGCGGATTGGTCTTGGCGCCCGATGGAGGGAACAAGGAACATTTGTCTTGGGTGCAGTTGAAGCCTTCCTCTGGAGGTCAGGTCAAGGGCTGACGTGAGTAGACCCAGAAGCGCCTGCCACTGGCAAAGGATATGGGGTTGTTGAAGTGCTGGGGGGAGGTGGTATTGGATTCTGTGCCACCTGTCTCTGGGTACAGAGAGGAGGGTTGGTCAGTCTGAAAGAGGCCTCCGATGAACTGGAGATTGAACGACCTTGATCTCCGTTTTCCACACATTGATGATCCATCCCAACAGATGAAGGAGGCATTATGTAAAATCCCTGGTGGATGAGGTGGTGCAGAAGGCAGTGTTCGATGTTCATTGCTCAGATGAAGGTAGGTGGCTGCCGGCTTGGTGAAGCATGTAAATAGTCCACTCCTGTGAGCACCAGGTAGCCGAATGTCTGGGAGTGGTGATCTCTACAAATGCTGCACACATGTGAGCCCTCATATGATCTATCTAATGCTATGGTAGGCCATGACAGTGGCATGGTGGTCGAGACGGTGTGGGTTATCCTCGGAGAGGTCTTGGATGATGGCTCTGGAGGTGGATGCCATAAAGGATAGAGGCTTGACGTATCTCCGTCCCAATGTATGCGAATCTTGTGTCCGGGACACGGATGGTTGTGGAACGGTTGGACCCCCTCATGCTGTGCAAATCATCATAAAGTGTATGAGCGCTGTCCGCAATGTCCAGGAAAGTTGTCCTTCCTGTATTTGGGCACCTTGAAGGAGGGGGTAAGGGATAGCTTGGCAAAGTCAAGTGGAGGCGCGCCATCGATAACGGGTATGACAGAGAGAGGAGATCAGGGTCCTCGGCACCATGCCAGGCGTCATAGTAGAAGATGAAGAAAAGTATATCAACGCTGAAGGGATGGGCATCAGTGTGAGCATTGTATCAACAAAGGAGGACATGGTCTGTATGGCTGATGAGGTGGTAGATGTAATCCTCGAAGAAGACATAGATAGGGTAATGGACGCCAAAGGGATCCTGCCTGATACAGAGATGTTTGTGGCTGGTGGGGGTATAGTAGTTTGGACGAATCAGGTCGACGTTTCCGGGCCTGGTGTGTCTGTAGTTTCCAAGATACCTGAAGGTACTTTTAGTAACCTGGGAGCAGACAGTGGTGCTGAGACACAAGGGATGAGAGTCCCACCCAGACTTATTGCCGTGGCACTTGATACAACATGGCATGTATCTGCAATGATAGCAGTATGTAATCAAAATGCATTCCCAATTATGTATGTTATCTTTTATCCCAGCCATGTGGGTTTATGAAGAATAAGTTTACGCAAGGGACACGAAAAAACACCACTTTAATAACGATAATATCGCAAGGGTACGACAGGGTACAAGGTAAATGAATTAAGCAGTAATGAAAGATAAGTTAAAAAATTAACGAACACAGATAGAGTACAAACGGATAAAAAGTGTGACAAAACCCCAGATTTATCTCCTCTATATTATCATATAAAATGTACGTATATAACAAACTCTCTACAGTGAACTAATGTACATAGCAAACTGACACCTGATCCCCGACAAGCCCAAATACCACTAATTAGTGATGTGTATAGCGAACTGAGAAATCTCACTCAGTGTCAAGTGTCACTGACACTTGGCTATGCGCAATCAACACTATCAGCAGTGACAATTCAACCATGTAAAACTTGCTTTACGTTAATCTTACCTGTGACAAGACTAATCTTGTCTGTAAAACAAACATTAAGCATGGTGAATGCACAGCAGTTGACACAAACATCGTCAACGACTTCCAACAACCTCTTAACTTCCATAAATCTGTTAGTATCAGCCAATATGACGGGCACCGAAAACTGCCCTGTGCACCAAACTGTGTCTAATCTGACAAACATTAAGCTTGTGTTTCTGCCACCAAACACAACATCTAAGATCCAACCGATGGCCCAGGGCATTATCACTAGTCTCAAACAACATTACAAACATGAGATGATGACAAATATGCTATCCTGTTTGGATAAAAAACAAGACCATGTGATAAGCATACTGAATGCAATTGAGATTCGGTTCACCGCAACATGCAACATGAATCAAGAACTGTTTCCGAAATGGTTGCTTCGTGTCGACCGATGGTGAGGCTGAATCCAAGAGTGACGAACCTGAAGGCATTCTGTTATCAGACTTGAGGGATATCCCCACTGAGTTGAAGAAATTGACATCCCAACTGAAGTGACTCTCCAAGAGTACATAGACGCAGACCGAGACATCCTTGTTACTGAACGCCCAAGTGATGAGGACATTGTCCAGCTGTTGTATCCTCAGACATGATGGGCTTCCAATTTTCTGCGAATGTTACCAGTTTTCCCCACATTGGTCCTGATGTTGGCATATCTTACATGTTGATTCCCAAATTGAAGCAATAAGAAATCAGAAATCTGTACGTAAAAGAACCAAGTTTGTAAC